TTGGGCTGATTTCAAAGCCCTCCGGGAGGCCTTCCTGACCACCTTATCTTTATACGTTTCCCGTGGCTACTGGAAGAAAGTCCCGCCCACTGGGTGGCTCGAAACAACAGAAATGGATCACCTCACAGCTCTGGAGACCAGAAGTCCATATGCAAAGTGTCAGCAGGGCTTGCTCCTGGAATGTTCTAGGGGAACATCTTTCCCTGCCACCCCCTCCTCCCTTGGCTCGTGGCAGCATCACTCTAGTCTCTGCCTCCGTCTTGACAGGACCATCTTCCCTCTGTGTGGGTCTCTGTGTCTAAGGGCACCAGTCATGTTGGGTTAGGGCCCTTTCTACTGGAGTATGCCATGTCAACTAATTCCCTCAATTTCCAAATAAAGTCACATTCACAAGTACTGGGCGTCAGAACAGCAACGTATCTTTTGGGGGACAGTTCAACCCATTGTTAGCTGCCATCGAGTCACGTCTGGTTCATGGTGACCTTATAACAGAACACAACGGTGCCTGGGCCTGCACCATCCTCATGATCATTGGTATGTTTGTGTCCACTGGTGAAGCCAATATGTCATTCCATTTCATGGAGGACTTGTCTCATTTTCACTGTCCCTCTACTTCACAGAACTCCATCTGAAGACCACCACTGTCTTATGTCCCCGTCATATGCTCTCTTGTGTCCTTGTTGACCATCTATCTCTATGTGCCACAGGGCAGAATTCAGCTGCCTTGGTGACCTCTGGTCCCAGTGGCAGACACAGAGTGTGTCAGTTGAATAAGTTAGAACCTGATCCCCTCACTCTACAGAACACCTAACAAAAGCCACTTGGTATGGACACAGAAAGAGTAATCCCCTACCCGCCAGAAACTGTCTGGGGCACAGGCCGAGGTCACGTAGCCATGAGCAGCCACAGCTGGACAGGGTTCTGCAAGGCCAGGGAAACAGCTGACCTGCCTGCAGGGGCCTTTGTGCTCTGCCTGTTCACCCTGGAGAAAAAACAAACACAATCCTGACAGGCATGTAATCTCGGATTTAGGGAAGACACATACACACACACACACACACACACACACACAGGCCAAAGTGTTATAAAAACTGACAAGTCTACCTCACAGTTTATCCTTGAAAATGCAGACACCAAATGTCAATTAATGCACTCCCGCCCGCCCGCCCGCCCTCCCTCTGTCCCAGGCCAGTACTCCACCACTGACCAACAGGACCCAGCAAGTCACATCCAACCAAATGCGTGTGGAGTAGCAGCAGCCCTTTGGGTTGGTGCTTGGTCACAAGACGGGGCCAGATTCCTGCGCCACTGGGTGGGTTTGACCCACCAGCCTTGTGGTGAGTAGCCAAGCACCTTACCGTTTATGCCATTCAGGGCCTCCACCCGTGGTGGCGGTAAGCAGTGCTCCATTTCACCTACATGAAGCAGCCCCACCTTCACCTACACAGCCATGCAGCCATGTGACCAGGTCTGGCCCATGGGATGTAAGCAACTAAGGGGCCACTTCCTCTATGCCCCTTTCCAACAGGACTGGAATGTGAATTAAGCCAGCCTCAGCCATGTGCATGGCACCACCACCCTGCCTGTGGAGGCTGAAGCAACCATGTGGAGGAGGCCTGGGTCCCTGGATGACCTTGCAAAGCAGAACCAAAGATGGTCAAGTGAAGTCCTAGCTCAGGGAATGTGGGTAGGCCCTTACTTAGAAATAGGGTGTTTGCAGAGGTGCTCAAGTTAAGAGGTCAGGATAGATTAACCAAAACCAAACCCACTGCCATCTAGTCAAATCTGACTCCTCATGACCATACAGGACAGAGAACTGCCCCATAGGGTTTCCAGGCCCAGCCTGTCTTTATGCAAGCAGATTCCTTCATCTTTCTCCCACAGAGGGCTGGTAGGTTCAAACCACTGTCCTTTTGGTTAGCAGCCGAATGCTTTAAATACTGCACCACCAGAGCTCCTGTATGTTGGACCAGGGTGGGCCCCAACTCAGTGACTGGTGCTCCAGAGAAGCGACAGAGATACAGCCCAGGCAGCCTTCTGGGTGCTTGGGGCAGAGAAGTGACTGCAGCCCCAGGCCCTGTCCTTGGGCTGACAATGCAGTGAGGACAGAAATGGCCGCACAGAGTGAGGAGGCACCGGAGGGGAGGCCAGGAGGGCAGCTGAGGACCTGCTCACCCAGGTGAGAGACTGCAAAGACAAGGAGGGTGGCCGGGAACCCCAGTACAAGAAGGTTCTTGGAGGTGGCAGGAAAGGGCCTGAGCCTGGCAGGCCACAGGAGCTGAGCAGGAGCACGTCCTGGCAGCCAGCGCCGGGCCAAGTGCCAGATTCCACTACCGGACACACCTGGTGGGACAGAGCCCAGCCACGGCGCCATAACCTGTAGCTGCCCCAGCCTTGGCGGTGGCAGTGACTGGCTGTGAAGCACATACTCAGCCAGGGCCCAGCCAGCACGGCCTCTACCACGTGCACGTCTGCTGTTCCAGACCATCTGCCGCTCATTAATGAAGTGGCCCAGCGTGGCTCATTAATAAGGACGCATGAGCTCAGCCAGCTAGGGACATCCTGACGGAACTAAAGGGCACAGTGATTAAGCCACAATGATGTCTCCTCACACTCAATATGAAGTCGGGGGTGGTGGTGGGGGGAGAAGCGGGACCCAGACCGTCTGGTGACACGGTGGAGGCTAAGAAGCCCAGCTCAGGAAGGTAGACAGTGAATGGCCTCAGACTCCTGCTCAGGTCTCCCAGCTTGGGGCTCGGTGCTGGCTACCTTCCCAGGAACCATTCTCCCCTCCTCACCAACAGAGCTCCAACTGTGTTTGCAAAGCATGGTGCACAGAGTAATCACCAGAACCTGTGTGTTCCCTCACAGGGCTAACAGGACTGTGAAGGTGGGGCTGAGATCCTGACATGGGGAGACTGTCCGGACATGGCTAACAGGACCCTGAAGGTGGGGTTGAGATCCTGACATGGGGAGACTGTCCAGAAGGACCCAAAGTCATCGCAAAAGCCCTTGTAAGTGACAGAGGGAGGTCAGCGGTCAGCAAGGTAGGACATGAGGACTCAACCGGCGAGGGCCAGCTCTGACGGCAGAGGACAGGGCCACAGGGCAAGGAATGCAGGGGGTGCTAGAATCGGGAAAAGACGAGGGACCAGCTTCTCTCCTGGAGTCAACCGAGGGAACCAGCCCTCCCGCCCACATCTTGACTTTAGCCCAGTGAGACCCATTTTGGATTGCTGACCGCCAGAACTCAGAGTACATTAATTTGTGTTGTTGCAAGCTAGTCATTAGTTACAGTAGCCACAGATTTCAGAGAGGAAGAAAAAAAATCCTGAGTTCCACATCCCCCTGCAGCTGAGGTGGCCATGGAGCCCAACCTGGCCAATGGGACCCAGACAGGTCCCAGGTGTGACCTGGACAGGCTTACAGGACAGCCACTGTTTTGCTGCTAAAAAGCAAGGGGCTTGGAAGGCACAGGCTTTTAGGCTGTCACCAGTCCTCCTAACACTTCCTCCTCCTGCCAGCTGGGAACAGGTGGACTAGAGGTCGGGCAGCCACCCACTGACCAAGACGACGAAGGCCACATGCTGAGGACGGCAGAGCACAGGAGACGGGAGCTGCCACCACCTCCAGCTTCCTGCTGTGGGCGAAAAATGACCTGAGGCTGGTGAAGCCTGGCTCCCAGGACGTGCAGCCAGACACAGAACAGGTCCAGTACCGAAACCAGCAGCTACGGGCCTGGGCGAGCCCAGGGTACAGGCAGGTGGCGAAGGCGGAGCCCCTCCCAGGCTTGGTCCAGTCAACCCCAGAGCCTGCTGTAACAACCAGGAGCCTGGGAAAGGCCAAACAACTCCTGGGCACACCCTCGGCTGACCATCAGTACAACCACCTGCCCCTGAGAAAACACACGCACATGTGGGTAAGTGTGCACATACAGAGATACACATTCGTTTTATTACATTAAATTCCTCATCGCAATCTTCCCTGTATTTTTATAATCCAGAACAAAGAGGATTCAGCAAAGTATTTCACTGTGCTCCATTTACAAAAATACAAAACTGAACATGAGGGTTCCAGAACCTGTTAACATTGAACAAAAAAGGACACCTAGCTCCTGCAATGCAGGCTCGAGGTACAAACGTGCCTAACACACTTTCCATGGTGAAACCCTAAGAACTAGCACGAGAGGGAGGGCAGGACTGTCGAGGCATCCCTAGGGAAGGACCTGGAGAGGGGGCTGGTTGGGCGCATCATTTGAGGGTGCACTCACCACCACCCCTCAGAGGAAATACAGCCCTGGGGCAGACACTCAATTCTGAGAACAACGTACATAGAAGAGACACTTAATTAATATTAATGAAAATTTAAAGTCCATCCAAAGTCCGTGAATAAGAGTGGGCCCCACTTGCTCTGTGGGAGTTTCCTGCCAGCTGGTGAGACTGTGTTGAGTAGGGAGTGACACAGGTCTACCAGGAGGCGGTCTTGCACCTGTTATGCATAAGTAACACCAGTGGTCAGCCCATGGCGTTCCCACCACCAGCTGTAGGACTGTGTCCTCGTAACAGTTCATGCTCAAGTACAGACAGAGGCCCTGAGGGGAACAGCAAGAGGGGGAGACAAGAAAGCAATGTCACCTGAGCCGGTAGAAATGGAGTGACAGCAGGACTGCGAAGGTCAGGGCTGAACAGCTCCCTGGGGACGGCCTTGGGCACACAGCACCCGCCAGCCGCACCCTCGACCAGGCACAGGCCGTGACTGCCCACCCAGGCAGCACCCATACCCCTAAAGCAGCGCTACCCACACCGCCTACATCTCTGAGGTTCGGGACCCCATCCAGTGAGTGGCCGAGTTGTCACCAACAAGACACAACTAGGAGACAGAAGCAGGTCCTCCCTGGCCTGCAGAGACCTGGGTGCAGACTCCTTTCAACTCTCCAGAGGGGTCCAAGTAACGCCCGGACGCACCGCTGCATCTGCGGGCGGGCACGTGGGCCCGCGTGCTCAGAAGCCCTGGAGCTCAGGGATGTTCCGGAACAGATCCAGGGCCTCCGGGTTGGAGAAGGCGCCACGGTGCTCCACTGACTTCCCAGCAATGATCTGCTTCACGGCCACCTCCACCTTCTTGCCGTTGAGCGTGTACTGCAAGGGCAGAGCCAAAAACAAAGCACTTAAACGAAGAGGGAAACACCCCCTGCTCAGACGCTGGGCAGAGCCAAGGCCAGAAAGAATAACCCCACCAGAGCGCAGGAAGGGAATGACTTCCCCAGAGAGGGCCCGGCCGGCTCCACAGATAAGTTCGGGACGCTGAACATCAAAGTCGGGGCAGCAGTGAAAGCCGACACTGCACACACCTCATCTCCTTCCCACGCTGCCCCCAGCTGGCTGCCCAGAGAGCGGCTCTTCAAGGCTGCTACGAGGCCAGCGTGGCCAATGAACGTTTCTAACACACGTTCCGCTGGCCGGGGACCTGCCTGCACCAGTTACTCCTTGGCCAACTGTCACGCAGCCACACCAGAGGCCATCCCTTGACTGGCAGATGAGGTTTCTCCTTGGTGTCAGGAATCCTGCCCCAGGAAGAAGCCCACAGCCCCTAAGTCCCACAGGCTTCCTGCAGAAGGCGACTCCCACCACCAGCTCTGGGTAACTCTGGGCAAGTTACTTGCGCTATTTCCGCAAGCATTCAGAGGGATGGCAGGGCCTATCCTAAGGGCTGTGGGCAGAGAAGTTAACACTCATAGAGCTTTCTCAAGTGTCTGCCGTTGCTGTCACCACGGGAGAAGGCAGCTTCCTGTGACTGCAGCGCCAGGTAAGACGCGACCGATCTGCACCTGGAAAGCTCGCCTCGTCTGAGCACCTCCAACCCTCCCCCGATCCTCCTTCAGACCACTCACTTGCGTGGAGGTGCCTGACTTTTGCTCGCAGCCAAACTCCTCCCCACTTTCAGAGCCCCCTCTAAAATGCATAGCAGGTGAGTTTCATCTTTAATCCACATGGGCTATCAGTGGTGTTGGTGTGTTTGAGAGCTAGGAAACTTCTAGAACTACAGAGCTGAATGCAGCTGCCGGCGCCCTGATCTCCTGGCACTGCCTTTTAAAAAAAATAAAAAATAAAATAAAACCTGAGATGGACTTAAAATTCATTCATTTGAAAACTTCAGTCAGTGTGTACGATAACTAAGGATCTAAGTGGAGGCTTCCGAGGGGCCACCTGCCATCTGCTCAGCGCCAGCAGCCTCTCTCACCTGGACACATGAAGGCCTGGTGCGCAGTACGAGTTCCCACGCTTCGAGTGCAGTTCACAGAGGCCGTACCTCGTATCTACCATCAGCTGACCAAACAAACCAGGCATCACTGTAAGAGGGTCCCCTGGTGGGAGGGACACGCCAGCCCAATCCTGCACTGCTGTGTGAAGGTGCGGGCTGGGCGGGGAGGGGCTGGCGTCCTAACTCACTGCCCAGGACCTCGCATCTCTCGGATCCAGTGCTCCCAGCCCACTGCCCTCGCCGTGACCACTCGGGGTCTGGAAGGCTTTGTTCAGGGTTAACAGAAGGCGGAACCCCTTCCTGGGGCAGGGCTCGCCTCTCGGTGTCCTCATCTGTGAGATGGGCGTTGAGTAGACAGGCTTGTTCCACCTCTCAGGTGTCAGGAGGACCCACTCGCTCGCTCATTCATTCACAGTCTGTCCAGGAGACACAAGTGGACACCTGCTGTTTGCCAGTAGCAGGCTGAGGGCTGGGGAGGAAGGGCTGTCACCCACACAGGTGCCTGACCTCACAGGGCTTACCCTCTAGACAGACACAAGACAGCAGCTCAAAGGGAGTCAGTACTGAGTGCTACCAAGAAGATAAAACACAGGAAGACATGAAAGGATGCTGTTTCGAATGTGAAGTTCAGGGGAGGCCTCTGAGGAGGTGATGTTTGAGTAGAGCCAGGGCTCTGTGCACTGTTCAGACCACCTCCGGATCTAAATCGGTTATCGGGCAGCCCAGCATTAGGGCAAGATCCCGGCACACAGGAGCCTATACTCCCCACACAGGTGCTGGTACCAGCCCCGTCTCCAAGATGATGAAACAAGGCTCAGCGCCACGGGGTCAGTGGCCCGAGTACACATCTCCAAGCAAGAGGGGGAGCCAGGACACAGGGACAGAGTCCTGTGTGAAGACCCCCAGGAACTGCCTTCCTGTTCTTCACAGCCTCTCCCCCATCTGAGCCTCACTGTCGGTCTCCTGGGTGGCTGGGAGTGGCCAACACCTCGCCTCACTTCCCAGACATGGTGGAATCTGGCTCAACCCCAAGGAGCAGGGCTGGACATGGCCCCCCGTTCCCCATGCACACTCCCTAGGTCTCAGGGACTCTCCCCAAGTCCTGCTGGTAGTGGCTGGCTGCCCAGGTGAGGGAGGGGCATCCCTATTTCAGCCAGCACCTGTCACAGGGGCATCTTGGCTCCACCCTCCAAAGAGTGGGCAGCAGGCTGGCCCATTCCACACAAACACCAAGGGGAGGGCATCAAACCCACAGAGGGCTCTGCTGCCATCCGCAAGGGCCTGTCAGTTCTCCCTTCTGTGATCCTGAGGGGGTCCAGCTCCCAAGGAGCTGGGCTCATCGGGCCCACACTGGGCTTGGGGAGGACTGCTCCTCTCCCTGGGCCAGGCCAGACCCTGCCTGGCCCAGGCTTGAGGTGAAGCCCCCCTCGGCACCCTGGTGGTCAGGCCATGGGGGCCTCAAACACCTAAGAAACCCCAAGTAACCTCCGAAGTGACTTCACAGACCAGTCGCGTAGGAAAGAACCATCCAGGGAGGAGAGCATGGGCCTGGGCCAGTGCAGCGAGCAGCGAGCATGATGGGAATGGGAGGGGCGCAGAACCTGCCCCTTCTAATCAGCACGCGTGCCTCTCACACTCCGACGCGGTCCGCGAAGAACCAAGTTCTTCAAAAAGTAAAGCAGAGGGAACTCTGACTGTAGTTGCCTAAAATCCTGCAGATGCAGATGGAACAGAAGGCTCCGAGCCTCCTAAGGAGAGGACAGTGAGCGCCACTGATACAAGAACACCAGTGTTTCCAGGGAGCACCACCTACCCACACAGGGCAGACGGACAGGAAGTGGCAACTCCCACGCTGTGAGGCTCCTTCCGTGCACAACCACAACGAAAAATGTGCAGATACAACAAAAAAGAGAGAAACAAACATGGTTTGGGAAAAGAGAAGATGGCGTCCTGAGTCAGGGGAAGAAGTAGGCCAAAGAGTGGCGGAGTGAGAACTATGGTGAGCACCAGCCCCTGCTCCTGAATGAACGGTTTCGAAGATCCTGAAAGAATTTCCAAGGCAAGAAAGAACACTCTTAGTGTGCGTGGGGGTGTCAAAGTCAACGGCCTCACCTGTCCGTATTTCCCAGGAAGCTGCATTCCCAGGACGAACACCTGTCTGACCACAAGGGGCAACCAACGCCAGGAGGTGCTTCGCCCACTGAGCAAGTCAGCAATCTTCCCTGAGGGCGCAGATACCATGTGGGCTGAAAACAGAAGCTGCCCTGTGTGTTTCATGTTCCATGTACACACATGCACATACACACATGGCAGTCTCTCCCTCGGCTCACAAAAGCAACCCGTGTGGTGAGCACAGGCTGCCATGTCTGTGTGTTTCGTGCCCTGTGTACACACAGATACATGCACAAACGCATGTGCATGTGCGTGTACATACACAGCAGTCTCCCCCTTGGCTCATGGGAACACCCATGTGGTGAGCACAGGCTGCTATGTCTGTGTGTTTCATGTCCTGTGTACACACATAGACACACATACATACACACACACAGCAGTCTCCCCCTTGGCTCACGGGAGCACCCGTGTGGTGAGCAATGTGAGCTGAAGCTGGGCTCTGGTCGTACAGAGCAGCTTTCCCTTCACTGAGAAGCTAAACACAGTGTGAGGGGGGGAACAGCTCTCTGAAGACATGCCTCTAAATAGATTCACATCTCGTTCCCACAGACAGAACTTAAAATTAAAAGGCAACAGCGACAGCATCCCAGTAGCCCTTTAAAAAGTTAAAATTAATTTTCTCATTAATGTACTTGAGAACACACCAGGATGGCATTTGGGAGAGCAGCCTGGGCCACGGGGCGGGGCCTGCTCAGCCTCTGAGCAGAGGGAGTTAGGAAGTTGCTTTAAACAGCCGGAGGAAGGGCAGAAAGACACGGCAGGGGAAGAAGGATGCGGTCGCTAAGCAACCCAGACCACTATATATAAAGCAGGAGCAAGCCTCCGAGCTGAGGTCTCCTGAGGCGCGTGGGCCTGCGGGGGGGTGACAGCAGCCTCACTGCCAAGTGGCAGGAGATGGCACCTATTGCTAGTTCCATACCGGGATCCCCTTGGTCTCCAGGATGAGGCTGGGGACATGCCGTGCAGACAGGCCAAGGCGGATGGCGTCGCAGATCTTGCGCACCAGCTCGGGCCGGAACGTGTGCCCGGGAACCATCTTCACGAAGAGGATCACCCTCTCTCCTCCATCATTGTTGTACTGGGGGACGCACAGGCTGTCCATCACCTCCTCAAAGGCCTCCACTGCAGGGACAGACAGAGCAGCAGTCATGGCGGGGCCCGCTGCAGCCGGCAACTCCCCAAGCCCATCCTGCTGCACGGGGGAGGAAGCTGGTCACCAGCCTGTCCTGAAGACGTCCCTTCTGCACCCACCCACCTGGGACGGAGCCCTCGGGGCCCTGCTCCAAAGGAGCCAGTTACCAAACCAAGGAAAAACCCGTCACCTTTAACAGGGCGTTCACCGTTTACAAGTGGTTTCCACGTATGTTCTATGGACTTAGTTTCAAATTAATTAAAAATAAAAATACAAGCAGTATTTTTGGCAGGGCCTCCAGAGAGGAAGGAACAGAGGCTAGATCAGGGCATCCCAAGCCTGGCCAACGCCTGGGCCTACAGAGAGGCCGGCTTCCTGGGCTGGGCTGGGCGAAGGCCCTCCCAGTCAGCTGTGACTGGTACACACTCCTACAATGTATGGCCGTGTGGCCTTTGCGACCGTGCAGCCTCTTTGCTTCTGTTTTTTCACCTACAAAAGGTGGACACTGCGAGCCCATCAGCCGAGCTCACAGCAGGGAGGCCTCATACCAAGTGCCCTAGGAGCCCGTCCCATTCTGAGGTCCTGTGACTATAGCAGAAGCGTATGAGGAATGTTCTGGAAAGAACGTGTGCACTAATCGCCACTCTCCCCTCAGACAGATGAGCCCGACGTATCCCCCAAGCGGGCACTTTGGAAATGAGGCTGTCCCTCCTTCCTGGGTAACCTAAGGGTAACTAGGGAGAAAGAGGGAATGCGCACCAATATTGTAGATTTCCGAGCTGCCAAACCGCACTCCGTTGGGGTTGAGCGTGCCGTCACTGGGAAGAGACGAGGTCATGACCATCCGGCAGGGAGGCCACGGAAGGAGCGTTCATCCCCTTCTGCCCTCCACTCCCTGTTCCTACCCTGCTCCTCCTCTCTCTAAACTTAAAGCTAGACACCCGTGGGAAGGCCGGGCCCACCCCCCTTCACTTGACCCATGTCCCCCCTTCCAGTACCAGAGACCACATGCTGGGTCACACATACCAGCCCCCAGCCACACCTTTGCACAGCCTCCCCTCGGACCCCACAGCCCACCACGGCAGGCATGGAAATACAGCCTGAGGCAGGCTCACCCTCAGGTGTCTGCTCATGTGTGTGGGGGCACACATGACCACACAGCAGGGTGTCCCCTGAGCACAGACTCACATGTATGGTGGTGCAGAGTGGTGCACACATGCATGCACAACACACACACACACACAGATACAGAGAGATATACCACCCAGACCCACAGAGATACACTACTCTTCTCCAGGGTGGACAGGAAGGGCCCAAGGGGTCCATGAGCCCCTGCCACAGAAGGAGTAGACAGAACGAGGGCACTGCCTCAGAGGGTCTCCGCCAGAGACAGGGTCCTGCGGGGAGGCCCAGGGTGGAAAGGCCAGGGCACACAGGAGATGGGACAAGAGGCCAGAGGAAGCGACCAGATGCCAGGCCGAAGCCAGCTTCACTGAGTGTGGGAGCCCAAACCTGGGCAGGGCGGGTGCCTGGGCGAGGTGACACTATACCAGAAGCACACACACGTGCACACACACGCACACGCACACTGTTGGCTACCCGTATGCAGCCTCCTCACCTCCGGCCAAGCATGACAATGCCACCAGTCCTGGGATTGATTCTGCAGTAATCACCATGTGCCCAGACACCTGCAGGAGCCAGAGGGGCTTAGTCACCATGGGGACGCTCCTGCCAGCCGCCGGGACAGACAGACAGACAGACGCAGCAGGCATGACAACATGTATGGTACGGGCCAGAGGGCTAGGGAGGGCTGGAAATGAATGAGACCCTCGCCCCCAGCAGCACGCCACCTGCAGGGCTACCCACCCAGTTCTGACGTGCACCAGCACGCAAGAAACAGTACTGCAGGTACCACGGGGACCGGGGAGGGACAGGGAGGGGAGGCCAGTCCTGGAGGCTGTGAAGTGGGAGCAGCTGCAGAAGGGCAGGGGAGGATCTGAGTGGAGGAAATAAAAGGGGGAGACAGGGGTCAGAGGAGGGGCTGGGCCAGGTCCTGCAAAGAAGAGACTGGCACAGGCAGGAGGTCCCTGGAACGGTTCCAGTAACAAGGACTGAACTACGGAGGGGCATGGGACAGAGAGCTAACTCGCAGGCCAAGGCCAGGGACGTGGAGGATGGAGGAAGAGGACCGAATGAGCTGATGCTGACACCACGCCGCCCGGAGCCGTCCTCCCACGGCCAGCTAGGGCCAGGGAAGGCCCAGGAGGTGCAGGTGCGTGTGGCTGGACTGGGAGACGTTTAGCACGTGAGCCCTTATGTAGGAGACAGAGTGTCCCAGGAGCAGCGCCACACAGGATCTAGAGATGTGAGTTCTAAGACTGCTCCAGCCTCCTGGGGACAGTGCTACCCAGGTCTGACAGCCACACACGAGCAGAGCCCAGGGCAGCAGGTATCCAACGGAGGCCAAGCCTCACCAGGGTCCTCCAGCCACTCCCGCAGGGAAGGCCCGAGGCCGGGGAATGGTGTGTGCACATGGCGCAGGCATGCAAGGCAGGAGCAGAGCGGGCAACCACAGCGAGGGCTGCTCCTCCACACATGGCTGACGTGCAAGCCCTTCCCAGAGGCTGCAGGAAGCAGGCCCTGAGCATAAACAACCCAGAACAGGAGGCTGGCTGCACCACGAACGACACAGCGGCAGGCGTCGAGGCTGCTGAAGAAACGGGAGAGGAGCAGGAACAAGGGCTCTGACTGAAGACTCTGGACTGGACAAGGGCCCCTCAGAGGATGCTCCTGGCATCAGTCTGAAAGTGGCATGCCTGCCTGTAAATGACTGACGGCAAAGCACTCTCCCCCAAGTTCTGCCATAATGATGGGGTAACAGTGTGCAAGACAGCAGGGAAAATCCCCATCTAACACCTCTGCCGGATGCCACGCCTCTCCGAGCAGGCAGAAACGGCCTCTGCCCCTCTGTGGACATACCAGGATCAGGCTGGCCCCCAGGAGCAGGGCATTGGGGCTAGGGTGCTCCCAGAACAGTCAGAGGCTGAGAATGACCCATATCGTGATTTAAGATGACAACTTCAAACTTTAAATGACAAGATACTGCTCGCAATTCATTATCAGCTGCCATGGGCAGAAGGAGACAGAGCCAACTGTCGGGCTGGGCTCCTGTCAGCTCGGCCACAGCTCCCCAACCTACCTGGGAACTTGGAGAAATACGCCTTCCTGTACTTGCTCCCATTCTCATCATTCCAGAAGTGCGTGGGCTGACAGGGGATGGGCTTGGTGCACACCAGCTCCCCGCTCTCCCCCCACACGGCCTTTCCTGGGGTGGGAGGAACAGAAAAGCATCGAAGCACCTAAGCACTAAGCCTGGACTAACAGCAGCTGCAGCTCAGCCACTCCAGTCCATGAACTTACATACAATGACATGGCCCACCAGGCCTTGTGCTGAGGACACATGCGCTCACTGACACGGCCCACCAGGCCTCGTCTGGTGCCGGGGACACACACAGTCTTGGCTCATTTACAGCCAAGGCCATGACAGGCTGTGAAGACAGGCAGAGAGGCCAAGCCTGGCCCCCCGAGGCCCTCACTGTGGCCAAGGTATTGAGCTGGCAGGTGGAGTGGCCATGGCAGCAGAGTCACCCACCTGCCCCTCCTGAGCACACGGACTGCCCATGAGCCCAGCCCAACCCCGTACTTCTCAGGGGAACACACTGGGCACAAAGGAGCCCAGGGCATTACAAGTCAGGTACGGGAGCCCCTCTGCAACTGAGCACTGTTCTAAGAACTGACCAAGTCAAGTCACACATCCAAGTACTTTCAAGTCACAGCTCCCCCTGAAGCCCTCACCTTCCTCATCCCAGGCCTCCACCGCCATGGCCAGGTTCCGGGCCTGGATCTCCCCTTTGTACACGGGGATCGAGGTATTCTGGCCCACAAAGCAGGAGATGATGTCGGTGCCACCTGCAAACAGCAGCAAGAAAGCTTGTTAGTAAACCCCAGAGGAGAACGGCAATGAGGACAGATGCCCACTGCCCTGCCTCCCGGTGAGGGACAATCCCAGAAGGCAGAGACGCTCCACGGAGGACGGGGTGACTTAGAGGCTGGGAAGAATCCCCGTCTGGGTGTCTCCCAGCTGGAGGAGGGACCCAACAGTTCAGGCCACACCTAAATGCAAGATGCAGGCTTATGGGAAATGGGCACCACGACAGCCCGAGGCACTGCCCAGGACCAGCTCCCACACGTCCCACTCGCTACGTTCACACTCACTTCACCGCTGGAAAACCAGGAACTCTCCCAGCTGTGAGGACAACAGGGGGCAACATCACAAGAGAACGCGCCACTGGGAAACACCTGTATTTCAGGAAGGAGCTCAAAACGGAGTCAAGCTCCAGGGCCACCAGGTGGGGGCAGCAGTCACCCCGGGCCTAGGCCCTGCTGCTGCCAGCAACAGTCCTCACTCAGACATCCTCATCAGTGGGGGGCACACATGACCACACAGCAAGGTGTCCCCTGAGCACAGACTCTCATGTATGGTGGTGCAGAGTGGTGCACACATGCACACACAACACACACACACAGAGATACAGAGAGAGATACCACCCAGACCCACAGAGATACACTACACATACCACACACAGATACACCACACACACTGGACACACACAGAGATACCACACACACACACACCTGACACACACACCACACCACACATACACACACCTGACACACACCACCTACACACACCTCACACCACACACACACCCGACACACACACACCACACATACACACTTGACACACACAAATATACCACACACACACATCAGACACAGAAAAGCATGCACACAGAGACAGATACATCAGACAAACACAAACAAGACTGGCGTGAACACACTCTGTGTGAAAATGGTAAACACACATGTAGGCATGTGGCCTTCTGTGGAACAAAGTACAGGGGACATCCTCTGGGAGGGACACCAGGGAGTCAACTGTAGGTGAGGAATGCTTCGTGTCTTAAACCCCATGACCGGAACACTGGTGCCTGTATGACCCTTTGTCCTGTTTTGGCTAAAAATCCTGAATATACCACGGACTGCCAGAAGAACAAACGTATCTCTCTTAGAGGAAGCACAGTCAGAACGCTCCTCAGATGCAAGTGTGGCAAGACGTCATCTCAGGTACTCTGGACGTGTTACCAGGAGAGACTGTCCCAGGAGAAGGACATGATGCATGGTAAAGTAAGGGGTCAGCAAAAAAGGGGAAGACCCTCAACAAACTGGGCTGACAGGGGCTGCAATGATGGGCTTACACATGGCCAACGATCGTGAGGCTGGCGCGGGACTGGGCAGTGTTCGTTCTGTTGTACACGGGGTCACTGTGAGTCGGGGCCAACTCGATGGCACCTAACAACATCACTTAGAATGCTTTTTCTTGAATCATGCTGTGTGTTAACTCCTGTGGGACTATACTTCCAAAACACAGAAGGGCTGATGTTGGCCTCAACTCCGAGGTGACTACTTTTCCCTTCAGGCAGAGACTCAAAAGGCGACACTCGTCCTGTCTTCGGGAGGCAGCAGTTTCTCCAGGGACCTCAAGTCACAGCCTGGTGGATGCCATTCCTGGCGTCTCCTGCCGAGAGAAGCACGCCCATCTCAGCAACTCCCAGGTTTAACCAGCCTCCAAGGGCACCCAACTCCTGGGCCTCAAGGCAGCATGCAGCCCTCCAAGACTGAAGGGAGGCCAGACCACAACACAAGGTGCTACTTGCACTGCTCAGAGCCAGAGCTGTGTAAACGGACGGGCGGCAAGAGGACGGCCGAGCGTCTGACAGAAATGCTGGGCAGATGGTGAGGATGCTGAAGACACCGCCACACGTGTGTGCATGCACACATATCTGTGTGTTCCTTTTTCCATTTACAAAATGATCACACCTTACAATGCTGCCATCTGCTTTTTCCACTCAACATATCATGACTGTCTTCCAACATCAAGAAATCGATTTGTCAAGACATCAGTTTTCACATCTCTGTGAATTGAGGACGTTCATCCACTCCAACTGGGCACAGGAGTGGCTGCAGTTGCTGTGGTTGTCAGGTGCCATCGAGTCGGTCTGACTCACGGCAACCCCATGCATCCCCCTCATGGTCGTGCTACGGGAGAGCCCTCAGCTGCTGCCACTGCATCAGTCCCTCTGTTGACGGCCTTCCTCTTTTTGGCTAATTCTCTACTTTATCATCATGATGTCCTTCTCCAGGGACGGTCCCTTCTGACAACATGACCAAAATATGTGAGATGAGATGACGTCTCCCTATCTTCTAAGTAGCATTCTGGCTGTACTTCTTCCAAGATAGATTTGTTCTTCTGGCAGTCCATGGTATGGTCAGTGTTCTTCACCAACATCATAATTCAAATGCATAAATACCTCTTCTTTGCTCCTCATTCATTGTCTAGCTCTCACATGCATATGAGGCAACTGATTGAAAACACCATGGCTTGGGTCAGGTGCACCTTAGTCTTCAAACTGACATCTTTGCTCTTCAACATTTTAAAGTGATCTTTTGCTGCCTATTTTCCCAGTGCAATACATCATTTGATTTCTTCATTGCTGCATCCGTGGGTGTTGACTGTAGATGCAAGTAAGATGAAATCCTTGATAACTTTAACTTTTCTCCATTTATCACGATATTGCTTATTGGTCCAGTTGTGAGGGTTTTCATTTCATGTTGAGGTGTAATCCACGCTACAGACGCAGTCCTTGATCTTCAGCAAGTGTTTTCAAGTCATGCTCACTTTCTGCGAGGATGGTCACCTGCACATCGCAGGTTGTTAATAAGTCCTCCTCCAATCCCGTTGCTGCATTCTTCCTCACATAGGCCAGCTTCTTACATTATCTGCTCAGCATGCAGATTGAATAATAAGTATGGGAAAAGGATACAACCCTGGCACACACCTTTTCTGATTTTAAACCACAGAGTATCCCCTTGTTCTGTTCAAATGACTGCCTCTGCAAGTATGGGTTCTGCACGAGCACAATGAAGTGTTCTGGAATTCCGATTTCTCACAGTGCTATCCATAATTTGTTCTGATCCACACAGTCAAGTGCGTTTGTACAGTCAATAAAACATTGGTAAACATCTTTCTAGTATTCTCTGCTTTCAGCCAAGACCTTTCTGATAAGATTGATGATATCCTTCATTTCACATCCTCTTCTGCATCTAGCTGGAATTTCTGCGAGTTCCCAATTGATGTGCTGTTACAACCGTTCTTCAATTATCTTCAGCAAAATTTTACTTGCATGTGATATTAATGATATTCTTTGGTAATTTCTGAATTCTTTTAGATCACCTCTCTTTGGAATGGGCACAATACGGATCTTTCCAGTTGGCTGGCCAGGTAGCAGTCTTGCAAATTTGTTGGCATAGGTGTGAGTGCTTCCAGTGTTAGACCTATTTGCTGAAACATCTGAATGGGTGTTCTGTCAACTCCTGGAGCCTGGTGTAAGGATTAGTTTCCAGCTTTTCACTGGTATCAGCAGTGCTGCAATCACCATCCATACATACCTGTCTGTACCACTTCAGGTTGTTTACTTGAGATAAATTTTAGCAAGCAGACTTAGCAGTGAGAGGGTGAGCAGGCTTAGGGGTGAAAGACAGTGTGCCTGTCTCCCATGCCCTCTGCTCCACGGAGAAGCCCTCACACCACCCCCGCCCCCAGGGTGGGGCGTACCTGAGATGGAGCCAAGGAGCACACTGCTCTTGATGTTCCTGTAGACATACTCGTAGCTCTGGGCCTTCAGCGGGGAGCCCGTAGACAGAATCGTGTGAAGCGTCTGGAGACTGTGGGTTTCCCCTACAAGGCAGAATTGCCAACAGATTAAAACTAAATCCAGTGCCTGAAAACCCACCTGCACGCAGGAAGTGCATAATACAATGGTTTAATTCCCCAGACTGGCAGTTCAAGCAACAGCAGTTGAAGAGGCAGTTTACCTGGTTTCATGTTTCTCTCCTCCAGCACGGACAGCCACTTGGCACCAGTTCCGAGGACGGTGATGCTAAGGGCACAAAGGCACAGGCCGGGAGAGAAGCAGGGACTGCTCAGGCTCTTGCAGAGACACACACCAAGCTCTCTAAGTTAGTCACTTACCCCGCCAAGTCTACAGAAACCAAGCCGCCTCCCCTCCTGGGCAGTTCTACTACTCTGCCTCATACAGACTCACGGGCGAGTCACGGCCCCACGCTGACGCCGGGGACCGTGGTGGCAGGACTTCCTCCTATTCGTTCCCCCTGCCGAGGCTCTGCGTCTCCTGAACCTCTGGTCCTCCTCCACACAACCATGGACGTGCACGTGAGCCCTGGCCCGCCCACCCACCGAGTATTTTATCTTCAGGACCAAAGGACCCCTAAAGGACATTGTAGCCTCATCCGTCCACTTTACAAGGAAGTGGATTCTTCATTCACACAGGTGCTCACCAGCACCTTCTTGGCCCCTCTTGTGAAATAAACTGGTGCTTCAGTGGTTCTCTGCACACACGCAGGACTGAGAGTGCTCCGTCCCTGCGTCTGCACAGAGTGCCATGGTAAACACAAACCACTGTGTTTTTGAGGGAGCAATATTTAATGATGCCGTTTCCTTCCTTGTCTTTCCTTCAACCAGTTCTCTTTCTTGGAAAGCTGAGTCTGCTCAACCATCAGGAGCCTGCCACCCAGAACTGTCCGACTGCAACCACAGGATGGTTCAGATGACGTGGACACCTGCCTAGTTAAACGCTAAGCCCGGAGGGAAGACCCCGGAGTCCAGGCCCCACCCTGACCACCTGTCCTTCCCCGACCAGGCCCCGCAGCACAGGACCCAGCCCCAAGGGGGAAGGAGAGTCTCCTCAAAGAATAGTGTGTTCAGAGCCATGAGCTGATGTCGTGATCATCAATGAAGATCACCTTCCTGAACGTATCCTCCCAGCCCAGACCTCACTGCTGGCACCACAGACCATGTCCTTGTCAGCACCCTCTGGCAGAGAACAGCCCAGGGCCCAACGAAAAGCAGATGCTCATACATGCTTCTGACCCAGAACGTGACCAAAAAGCTGTGAACCTATGTGCACACCTAATGACAAATACTCGCACTCACAATCACATATACGCTCAGATGCCACCACACATACATACTCCCACACACAGCCACACATATATACATGTACACTCACCAATATACCCGAACATAGACACACACATACTCAGACACACAGTCACACTCACACGTATCTACACAGCCGAGGCTCCCTGGCCCTTCTTCCTCCAGCTTTATTACCACTAAGCCCTCGCGGTGCAGTTTCCTCTCCACCCCACTTCCTGCTCCCCACCTGGAGCCTTGCTCAGTGGGATTCAGGGTCAAGATCTTAAAGCCACTGCAGTTCCCAGGAATTTGATTAACCTTTCTCTGGAAATCATCTCATTAGGAAGTAACCTTCCCTTGAACATCAGGAGCCAAATGTTAGGATTTAAATATGACATGGGCTAGGTAAAGCGACATTTAAAATGTTAATGGCCACGGAGTAAAACACACTGCCGGCTCCTCAGGTTCCCACCCGGAGCAGGCTGAAGTGTGAAGTAATAAGGATGTTGCAGAGCCTGCTTGACTCCCAGGCTTCCGGAGCTCTGCTGGTGACTATGGTCATGTTCACGGAAGAAACTCAGGTGACCACAGTGGTCACCCCAAGCCCACAGGATGGTTCATCCACAAGGAAGCCCTAATGCAGATGGGTCTTCTCAACATAACTCCCAATGGGTGGGTGTGTAAGAGAGAGAAAGAAAGGCCACGTGATGCTCCCTGGCACCGGGGGAGGCACCTGCATCTCTGCTGACTTCCGCCTCTGCCCGCTGGGATCCCCGGCCATTCAGCTGAGGCAAGAAGGAGCAGCAGGTTGTAAGAAGCAGCCATCACTGTGGAAACCACAGGACATATTCCAAGAGTACATTCACGGTTAGTGTGAGCAAGATTCACCACCAGGGGCAGGGGGCAGGGGCTGGCTTAACCCTCAGTCTCCAGAGAAGGGCTGTGAAGTCCAAACCCTTCTAACCCCCACTAGGGGTGGACTCTGACCTCCCCTTTACGACTGATGCTCCCTGCTTCCCAAAGAGGCTTCTATGCTGAGCCTTTACCTCACTCACCCCATGTAACAGAACTTCGATGGCCCTCAATTTCTCTCCTTTTGGAAATGGAATGTATGGACAATTACCTCCATGAACAACTGTCTCCTTTGCCCTGAGACCAGAAGAACTGGATGGTGCCTGATTAGCATTACTTAGTATTTTGATTAAACATTCTATGGAAGAAGGCTGATCAAAAGGGAGGAAAATACAGAAAAGAAATTAAACTTTGGATGAAATCCAGACTTTCTGGAGCCACAGATACTGAATGAACTCCTAAAACTGCTGCCCCAAGATAATCTTCACACCTTAAACCAAAAATATCCCCTGAAGTCTCCTGTAAAGCAAGCACTAGTTCAGTTTAATGACTAAAGAATGCCCACTTTGAACACTGTGCTTTTCAAAGAATGATCTACATGGGATCAAACTTGACGACAGCAACGCAAAAGGTTATAGAAGAAATGCAGAGGAGAATGGGGTCACGCTGATGGGGAAGAACAATCTGGAAAAGGAGGAGGAGAATGGCTGCACATCTGAGAATGCAATTAGTGTCACTAAATCGTACATGTAGCAATCACTGAATTGGCATACATTTTGCTGTGTATATTTCTAACAACAAAAATAAATAAATGCTTTAAATAAAAAGAGATGATTTAAAAATTTTCCTCCTTTTGCACTTCTCTGGTGGTTCTTACATTCCAAAACTAGAGAGATGTCTCGTGCCCTCTCTGGTGCTCTGAATGGTCTCCAGTCACCCCGCCAGGCTGCCTTGCCACTCTATGTGGAAGGGTCCCATCTCAGTCAGCTTGTATCCATGCCCACCCCACCGCCACTCCATGACAATCTCAACACGTACCTGTGGCCCCTGCCACACTCCCCGAGACAGGATGGCCAGAACGGCAGTGTCTCTAAGACAGCACCACGGTCTGGCACAACGGCTGGACGCAGCTGTGGCTTTGGCTCTGCTGACGAGGACCTAGGAATGACACTGACCTGGTTCTGACTGTACCTACCCTATCCTGTCCACCAGGTCCCAGAGCACGTCGGGTGTCGGGACCAGCGGGGAGCCGTCATACAAGACCAAGGAGGCGCCTGTGGCGAGGGCGGACACCATCCAGTTCCACATCATCCAGCCGATCTGCAACGAGCAGCAGGGCCATGCCATAAACCGGGTGCCAGGCCACCCTCCTCCCATCGGCCACATGGCCTCCTGCTTCCCCAGAAAACTGCCTGAAACTGGCCCCAAGCCTGATAACAAGTGTCCACTTCAAATGTACAGGGCTTGGAAGGAGCAATGCCACAACTAGGAACTGATTCCCCAGATAAGCCTGCGTGTGTATGCAAAGACATGGCAGAGCTTCTATGGCGATGGCCAAAGACTGCAAACAATCTAGACACCATCAGCACAGGCAGGACGAGGTCAAATGGGGTGCACACGCACTGACCGCACTAACCCATCTGACACAGGAGCTGACACCTAGGGCACTTCAGAGTCGGCCACTGTGCAGGCATGGAACAGAACGGGTATGGGCCACCCAACAACTGCTAACACACCTGTAAGTGCAAAACCAGCACCGAGAACATGTGGTGCAACCCAATCGCAGAGAAACGATAGGTATGTGAAACCACACACACACACCCGTGCCCCACAAAGACTCGCAAAGGCACTGGTTTGTACTGTAGGACGTGTATGTATAACTGGACTCATGAGGCCACCTGTGGGCCCTGGACCCCAGCCTCTCACCCTACAGCCTAGTTGTGCTGCTTGATTTACCAAGGGCAAGTGGAGCTTTATTTTTCTTTTTTAAATCCAAAACAGTAGGCACCTACCCACCAAGAGGGACACTTCCCACCTCCACAGGGAGAACGTGTGGGTGGTTCCGGCACTAAACAAACACGAAGACTCGGGCACCAGAGCAACGTCCACAGCAGGCTGGCAGCCGGCCCGCACCCTTACCGTGGTGTAGTACAGGATGATGTCACCGCAGCCCATGTTGCCGTGCAGAATGTGCTCCTTCAGGTGCTGGATGAGGGTGCCCTGCGGGGGTGGGGACACGGTGTGAGACGGGGCGGCTGCTGTCTGAGCCTCCTTTGCACAAAAGCAGAAACACCGCTATCACTGTGCCCATCTGATGGGCCAGGCTGCCATCACTCTGCCACCCAACTCTAGAGAGACCCTGTGCCCTTCAAGCCTTCAGTGTCCAGGAGCGAAGGGCATCATGGAGAAGCCACCCACCTCAGGCAGATGAGAAATTACATTACTGAGGCCAAACCAGAGACGGCGAGAGAACCAGCTGGGAGCCACCACACTACCTGTAGAACAAGGGGTTGGACCTGCCTATGCTGGTGGCCCTCAGCCCAACGGAGAACGGGGGAGGGGGAGGGAGCAAGCCGGTCACTGAACACGCACAGTGCCACCCACAGCCCATCACTCCAGGTGGAATCCCAGCTCAGGGGCCCAGTCGTCGCGGGAAAGCACAGGCCATGCTTGCAGCTAAACCAATGTCCGACATACGGGGGCTTGCCTGCTGGGCTGTAGGCTGCCTTCCACCATTACAGCCGAGCCCCCGCACTTCAAGAACCCCTGCTGTGGAGCAAAGACGGCCCTCCTCACCCCAATCACAGCTTCCAAGTCCCAGGATACCTGGAGCTAGTGTGTGGTGACCTGGGCAAGAGAGACTTCACAGGACCTCTTTCAACCAATGCTAAACGCTTACAACATGATCCACGTAAACGGTACAGAGCTCTGGATGACACGCACCTGCAGTAAACACACCCTCCCATTTCCTTTCTCATTTAAAATCCACAATTTACTTCGATCTGTATGTTCACCCAGCAGGTCTGCTTCGAGCCAGGCCTGTCCACAGCCTGGCTTCACTCATTGGCTCAGCATTCACACCCTCCAAGGGCCTAACACAGGAGCCCACCCACCATTTGTGCAGAGGTCACGACTGTACCTGGGTGTGTGTGTCACAAACTACCTCTTACCAGTTTCAGATTCACAGATAAGCTAGGGCAGCAGGAGAGAGTCCCACGCACCTCATCTCAGACCCGTTATTTATGAACACCTGACATTAGGACAAGGAGCTCTGGTGACACAAGGATTAAAGTAGTCAGCTAATCGTAAGGCCAGCGGTTCGAACCCACCAGTTGTTCCACAGGATAAAGAGGCAGTCTGCTACCATCAAGATGTGATGCCTTAGAAATCCTACGGGGCTACAGGGTCACTATGAGCAGGAATCGACTCTATGGCAGTCGTTTTTTGACATTGATGTGGTGTGTTTGTTACAGTTACTGGACTGGCATTGATACAAGCAGCCCTCAGATATTGCAGGTTTCGCTCCAGACTGCCACAATAAAGTGACTACCTCAACACAGTGACTCATAAATTTTTTAGTTTCCCAATGTATATAAAACTTAAGTCCAAAATACTGTGTATATGAACTGCTGTATGGAAAATGAACTTGCTCTGTAAACTTTCACCTAAATCACAATAAAGTTTTTAAAAATAATAAAATTAAATTAAAAAAAGTAAAAGTTATGTCTACACTGTTGTTGTTGTTGTTATGTGCCGATTCATAGCAATCCCTCCTTGGGTTTCCAAGGCAGTATCACTACAGAAGTAGATTGCCCCATCTTCCTTCCGAGGAGTAGCTGGTGGGTCTGAACCGCCAGCCTTCTGGTTAGCAGTCAAGTGCCTTAGGCACTATGCTACCAGAGCTCCCTATGTCCACACTATACTATATTAAATGTGCATGAGCATTATGAAAAAGCTTGAAACACTGTGAGTATGACAAAAATGTGACAGATATGAAGTGAACACACGCCGTTAGAAAAATGGCACCAACAGACTTACTCAACCCAGGGTTGCCACAAACTTTCAATTTGTAGAAACTGCAGTACCACAAAGTGCAGTAAAGCAAGGTATGCTTTACCTCGGGTCCACGCTCGACTCACTGTTCCTTAGTTTTTGCCTAATCATCTTTTTTGGACCCAAGCCTCATCCAGGGGCCTATCCCATACTGCAAAAGCAGCTGCCATGTCTTCTCAGACTGTTCTTGATTTGGATGGCCTGGACAGCTGTGGACAGCACTGGGCAGGTTTTTCTAGGAAGGTCCTGATGTTGGGTGTTGTCTGATGTTTTTCTCATGATTGGGCTGGAGTCATGGGTTACTGAGAGGAAGACCACAGAGGTCAAGTGTCACCTCATTACACAGTATCAAGGGTGCATATGATGTCATGACCTTTCACTGGTGATGTTGCCCGAGACCACCTGGCTGAGCTATCCCTGTCAGGGTTCTCTACTGTACAGTAACTGCCTCCCCACTTTCCACACTGTGCTCTCTGGGAGGCAGTTACCACACGCAGCCCACAGATAAGGAGCAGGGAACGACTCCTTTGGGTGGAGTAGCTACCTAAGCTCTTCTCTGCACCCACACTGCTGGGTCTGAGCACATGTGCTACATGTGGCAGTGGTGTTTTATAGCCTGCGTCAACCCCCACTGATCCAAATCCAGGTAATAATGAAGCCATCCAGACACTTTGCCACGCTCTGATGGAATCACTGTAAGAGTATAAGGCTTCTGAATGATTCACATGTAAATTTCTTCTTTACAGAAGGATTCAAACTGCTTTTGCAGTGCCTGTAAAAGCCAAATGAGCTAGAGTAAGAGGCATTCTCTAGTCCGTTTTCAGTCCCACCATCTTGTCAAGCAATGTTGGAGAAGCTGATTGGGAACATGAGGTTTCTGCACTTGGACAATCCCCTTCTTCTGAGTAGCTGAGAACAGGAGATGGCAGGGACTACCAAGGCACTCTGGTTTTCTCCTTTCCATGGGAACTTCCTATCTCCTGGTAAGCCGACTGAGGGGAACCAGGAAATCAGACATGCAGAGACCTGGAAGGCCCACGAATCTGAGACCCACGTGCCCAGGTGTGAAACCCTGCGAGGACTGTGGCTCCTTGCCGACTGGAGAGGCCCAGTCCAGGAAGGACTGAAACTGGCCCAGAAAGAAGCTTCTCCCCAGTCCAAGGGCAGGGCCAGGCGAGTACGAGGAGACAGCAGGGCTCAGGAGAGTCAGATCCACCCAGGAACAGGAAGCGTGGCCTGTATGAGATGACCTGGCACTGTGTGCCACCTGGCAGGGCGCACACAGGTTTGGGTCTCTTTGAGAGGATGCATCACACAAATATATGAGCCCTTCTGCAAGGTGTCTGGCCTGGATACTTCAAGACTGTCACGAAAGACCATGAAACACTGAGGAGCCTTGCAGGTCACAGGACCCTAAAGATGTATGACAACTTAATGCAGAGCAACGTGAATGCCACAGAGGACATTATCAGGAAAACAGCCACATCCCAACACGGGGCACCCTTAGCGGGTGGCACTGTTCCTCCATTCACTTTCCTGAATTTGATGACCACACTGTGCTAAGGGGACGTGCTTGTTCTTCAGAGACACCTGCTGCAGCCTTGAGGTGAGAAGGCTCATGATGTCTGCAGCTCACCCTCAAATGGTCTGGCAAACAGAAAACCGTACCGACGTGTGTGTACAGACACAGGAAGGAAGAGAGAGCAAGTGCCAGAAGGCTGACAATGCCGCATCCATCCCGAGCATACGTGGCGGTGCCAGAGTACTCCTGCAATTGGTCTCTAAGTTTGAACTTTCTCCAAAATAAAAAGTTACAAGTCACTGACTGTGGTGGTTATGTTTGTGTGTCAGCTTGGCTGGGCCTGGTTGAGTGGCTGGGCAGCTGGATGCAGTATTCCCCATGATGGGATCTGCTGCGAGCAGCTGAGTAGTTGCCTTTCGGATGTGGTCTGTTTCCCATATAAAAGGAGAAGCCTTGAGAATGGTCTCTAGCTTATGGCACCTTGGACCCTGCATGTAGCCATGTCATTGTTCAGCAGCCTGCCATGCTCTGCCAACCTTGGGACTTAAAATAGACTTGAATTAATGGCCTGCCGTGTGGTTTGGTAACATCGGGACTGTGCCTTTTTACTTGTCAACCTCGGGGCTTCTCAGCCTCAGCAGCCAACAGCTGTCTGAGTGAAGAAAAGCCTCTAGCTCCAGTGGGCCAGAAGCAGGAGGCAGAGCTGGACCCCAAGGTTGAGGGGCTTTCACCCAGCCCCTAAAGCATGGCACTTTGAACTTGGACTTAAAGCCTCCAAATTGTTAAGAATAAACTCCTGTTTGTTTAAGCCATCCCATTTGTGGTATATTCCTGTCAGAGAGGCACCAGGTAACCAGAACACTGAGTGTGGTAGTTATTCCCCATGATGAGGCTGGCAGTCAACTCCATGGTGAGATCTACCACAAGCAGCTGAGTAGCTGCTTTAGGGATGTGGTCTGCTTCCTGTGTATAAGGAGAAGCCTTGGGGATAATCTCTAGCTCATGGCACGCTTGGACCCTGCATGTAGCCATGTTGTTGTTCAGCAGCCTGCCATGCTCCGCCGACCTTGGGACTTACAATGGACTTGACTTAAAGGCCTGCCATGTGGCTTGGTAACATCGGGACTGTGCCATTTTATTTGTTGACCTTGGGCTCCTCAGCCTCAGCAGCCAGTAGCTGTCTGAGTGAAGAGATGCCTCTAGCTTCAGTGGGCCAGCAGCAAGAGGCAGAGCTGAAGCCCAAGGTCAAGGGGCTTTCACACAGCCTGTAGAACCCAGCACTTTGAACTTGGACTTAAAGCCTCCAAATTGTAAGAATAAACTCCTGTTTGTTAAGGCCATCCCACTTGTGGTATATTCTTGTCAGAGCGGCACTAGGGAACCAGAACACTGACCTACCTGTATGAATATAAAGTTGAACATTAGTGAAATACTCTCAGGTGTCCTAATGCAGTTAGCCTGTGATGAGATCAGCAGGTGTGTAAATGCACCATAAGCCCTTGCTCGCTCACTCACTCCAACAGAACCCAGTGCTGGCACAGTGTCACCCTGCCCACAGTCAGGTGTGCTCCCACCATGCCCCCTGGTTCAGGCATGCACGCACACAGGTGCTGACATAACCACAGCTTCCTGAAACAGTACCACCCCCTGAAACCTGAAATGTGCTGATCCCGACCAGCCTTGCCTGTCTTACTCTGGTTGAGCCCCATGCATAGAGTCCACTGAGGTGTCCTGCCCACACTGTGGAAATCCCTGGCTTACCCAGGCATGCTGGGTGTGGGTTCTGGGCTCTGTGGAAATGGAGCCTCTAAACCCACATGAATGATAGCAGGCGCCACACAACCCACAGCACAGTGACTATGTGCCCCTAAGTTAGAGACCCCTGCTCTGGCTGGATGCTGGAATCCCCAAGGGGCAGGAGGTGGTGTGACGATGTGGACATCCATTGTCACCCACTGGGAACACCCGTCACAGAACACGAAGAGAGACAGACAGGCCAGCGTGCCCCAGCCCAGAGACCTACCCCAGCCGAGTGCACCACGCACTTGGGAGAGCCAGTGTGCCATGCACTTGGGAGAGCCAGTGTGCCCTGCCCGGGAGACCTACCCCAGCCGAGTGTACCATGCACTTGGGAGAGCCAGTGTGCCATGCACTTGGGAGAGCCAGTGTGCCCTGCCCGGGAGACCTACCCCAGCCGAGTGCACCATGCACTTGGGAGAGCCGGTTGTGCCCGATGAGAACATGATGAAGAGAGGGTGGCTGAAGGGCAGCTGCTCGAACTCCAGCTGTGGCGCCTGCTCTCCTTTCCCAACGGCAAGAAAGTCATCCAGGAAGACACTGTGGGCAGAAGCGCAGGGCAACGGACGTCAGTGCTCATCCCCAGCTTGCTGGAGCCCACCTGAGCAAGCTGTGGCTCAGGGGGTCAGTTCTCCCGTGCGCGAACCCACCTGAGGATGCCGCGGGCCCAGGGGGTCAGCTCCTCTGTGTGCAAATGGACCCGAGCTCACCGCGGGCCAAGGGATCAGGTTCTCCATGCACGAGCCCACCGTGGGCCCAGGGGGGTCAACTCCTCCATGCACAAGCCCACCCGAGCACACCACGGACCCAGGGATCAAGTCCTCTGTGCACAAGTCCACCTGCGTATGCCACAGGCCCAGGGCATCAGCTCCTCCACGTGTGAGACCACATGAGCAGGTCGTGGGCCCAGAGGGTCAGGTCCTCCATGTGTGAGCCCACCCAACCACGCCACGGACCTAGGGGGTCAGCTCCTCTGTGAGCCCACCCAAGCACACTGCGGGTCCAAGGATCTACCTGCTATGGATCGAATCATGTCCCCAAAAAAGCTGTGTCCTAGTCCTAACCCTGTACGTGTGACCGTGTCCGTGTGAGTGTCTATAAAAGAGGTCCCACTGGAGCGGTGTGTGAGACAAAGAGAGGAGCCCAGAGACACACAGGGGAAGACAGCCACCAGGAACCAAGAACTGCCAACAGCTCCTGGAAGCTGAGACAGACACGCCAGGACCCTCCCCAGAGCCCCCCCAGCCAGACTTCCAGCCTCTGAACCATGAGACAATGAAGGCCTGCTCTCTGCTGCAACACCTGTGCTGTTTCTCGCAGTAGCACCGGGACACTAAGACACCCTGTCCCAGACCTGGCCTGCTCGTCTCCCACAGAGCCTGGATGTGTGGGGAAAAGGCCTCCAAGTGGAAGCCCCACATTACGGAGGGGAGAGTCAGCTCGGGGATTCACTCACTGAGGAAACAAACTGGGTGAGGCAACTTTTCAGGGTGCTTGGTTAACACTGCCAACAGGGCCAAGGGCTGTCTCCTCTAGCAGCTTTTAAGCCCTTTAATCAATGCTGTGGTGCAGGATCACCCCCACCACCTGGAAGCAAATACCACCGAAGGTTTCCAAAACAGTGATGAGAACAGTGAGCCCAGCACACTTTTCCTCCACTTGCTGCTCATCACCTGAGTAGCTAACACCTTGCTTCCAACAGCTGCCAAAGGGAAGTACAGCCACGTGGGTCAGAAGTGTGCTTGCCCCACAGGGCAAAGAAAGGAGGGAGTGCCAGATTAACGGGCTCCCCCAGCTTCACAGGGCTCACGTTATAAAGGAGAGGCCAGAACCTGAGACCACATCTTCACAACAGAAAAACCGCCAGAATCCTATTGTCACTAACTTACAAACCTGGGGGTCTGTAACAGCAAGACAGCTATTTATCCAGGAACCGATAAACCCAATCCCAACCATTAACTCTAACGTAAGAAGCCTCCCCCAGTCTGGCCCCCAAGGCCAGCAGGAAGCCTCTATGTGCCCACACCACATGAGGGGACGGCAGGATTGGAAGACTTGTTTTCTAAGCTGCTGACAAGGCAGAAGACACCCACAGCCGTCCTGGGGGTGTTTTTCTATTTTAAGATCGGCAGAAACATCAATCCTGAAAGACTGGCCCTATTCTCAAACTGGGTAAAGGGAGGAAAAACGAAACAAACACGCACTGGTTTGGGGCAAATGAAAACACCTTTCTTTCTTGCTGGCTGCCATTGCATCAGCCTCCGAGCGAGGCAACTCCGCCACCACCTGAGTAAAGGCCACCTGGCTGGCTACAGAATGGGCCGCTGCGAGCGACAGGGTCCCACTGGCTGATTCCTGGCCATAGATGGCCAGGCCCTTCCTCCTCTCCCGTCTCAGTCTGGACGCCTGGCTAACCCTCTGCAGCATCCCAGCAACACGCAAGCCTCCGACGACAGACGGGTGGGGCCGGGCACGAGTGCACGGCCGAGGATCAAACCTGGGTCTCCCACTCGGAAGGTGAGCGTTCTACCACTGAACCACCACGGCCCCGTCTGCGAGTCTAACAAAATCTGCCATCAAGTCAATCCCGACTCATGGCGACTCCACGGATGAAGATCAGTTACACACAGCGTTTAGTGATCTGCCAAGGACAGTTACTGAGACAAAAACGCAGACGTCCTATAACAAAGCACCCGGCAGCACTGCACGGGGGACTCCCTCCAGGGTGACGACGTGTCCGGAGGAGCTCAGCAGTTTAGAAAAGGGACCCGAGACCATGCACACGGCCTTCCCCAAATCAGGACACAATGCTGCGGGATCTGGTGGAAAGCGCCCTCTACCCTCGAGCCCACCTCCTACACGAGCCCCCTCCAGGAAGCAGCTGGGCTATTCGGGTACTTTACACAGACAAAAACCTTTACTGTCATTGGCTCCGTAAGTCACAGTGAACAGTGATTCCTTTAGTGGCTCTCCTAGAAATGGAAAGCCCGGCCATAACGTAACACCTGAGGGAGTGAGTCATTGGGCCTGGGGGCACAGTGTTGGGGAACATCAAGGTCAACTGGCAGAACACAGTCCACAAAGAACATGTTCTACATTCCACTTTGCTGAGCAGCAACTAGGGTCTTCAAAGCTTGGGAGCGTCCATCTAAGGGGCATCTACTGGTCTCTCCACGTCCACAGCAAACAAGAGTGAAGAAAACCAAAGACACAGGAAACAATTAGTCCACAGCACCAATGGGCCACGTCAACCCCAGCCTCTACAACCCTGAGACCAAAAGCACTAGATGGTGTCCAGCTACCACTGCTGACCGCTCTGAAAGGGATCACAATAGAGGTCCTGGATCAAGTGGGAGTAAATGTGGAACAAAATTCAAAACCCAAAGACTAGGCTTACTGGTCTAATAGAGACTGTTGAAACCGCAAGACCACGGCCTTTAAACACCCTTCAAGCCTGAACTCACCCCCACAACTCAACTTCCAGCCAAGCAACAGACATGCCTATAAGGTGAACAGTAACACCAGGGAGGCATGCACTTCTCAGAACCACCAACCAGAAGAGAGAGCAAAAGGGCAGCATTTGCCCAGGGATAAAACTCAGCAGGCAGGTGGGGACAGGAAGGAAGGACGAAGGGAAGTGCTGGGCATGGGGAGGAAGTGGGAAGAATGCTGTTGCACTGTGGGGATTGCAATCAATGTCACAAAACAGAATGTGTATGAACTGTCGAAGGGAAAACTGATTTGCTCTGTAAACTTTCACTCAACTTACAATAAAAAGTTTAAAAAAAAACATCTTAGTGATGGTCAAGAATGTTTTAACATTTGATTAAGGGATGTCAGGAAAAATTATGTTTTAACATGTTGCTGTTTCCCATAATTATTATGCAAATAAATTTACTTATTACGGACACTGAAAAATAAAGTGGAAAGCCCAGAGGGCAGGTCACCCTGCAGGCCTGCACGTGGACCAGCTGTGCTTGTGGTTTACCTCTGGAACCCAGTGGTTAAGGAAGAATGAGTGATGGGGCCCGACTCCAAGACCTCGATGAGGGGAACTTTGGGCTCTGTGACAGACTAAGTGAAGTGGCTTAGTCTGATACCCACCCTTTGTATAAACACTGAAAAACTCATCCAAAAAAGCCAATGCCAGGATACTGGGGGCCAGCTGCCCCCATCTGGTTTTCCTCCTGCCTCTGTGTCACTGTCCCCATCAGAGAAAACAAGGGCACAGTCCTCGGTGGCATGAAAGGAATCAAGGGTTCCGTCACCCGCCTGTAATTCACCAAGCTCAGCAGAGTTCCCACAGGCCTCAGGAGCAGATCCAGGCTCCAGAGCCTACGTCGAAGGACTGCCATCCTGACCCCTGCTGCTCACCCAGTGGCTCCAGGGTACAGCACCCACCCACCTGCACCATCAGCCATTTGTAAAAGGCAGGACCTACTACGAGCTACACGCACACTTAGCTGAGCCCTAGCGTATTAATCCTCCCAGCCAGCCTGTGAGGAAGGAGTTCTGATTATCACATTGTAAAGATGGGGAAGTAAGACCTAACGGTCTAAGAGCCAGGGCGTGCACACGTGGCCACAGGGCTCCTCCACCACCAAGCTCAGGAAATACTGAAGGCAGAGAACACTGAGAACCTCGTCACTCACTAATTTGGACAAAACCATAATTCATTTCTTTAATTCCTACTCAAAATGAAGATGCCACAATCGTATTTGGTTCTTAAGACATGTACTTTATCAGAAATGTCAGAAAAACAAAGAAAGGTGTCATTAGTAATGGGGACAGAAAACAGGATCTAAAAAGGAAACACAGATACACATACACACACACATTAGCACACATATGTATGCACATACAAACATATACGTACACGTATGCACAGGCATATGTGCACACACACACATACACAAAGGAATACACACACACATACATACATCTACACATAAGCTCCAATGCAGAAGCCCCGTGGCCAATGCTAGGCGTTGGGTCTGGCCCCACCATGCCCAGTACTCAAAGAGACCTGTGACTAAGGAGTGAGAACTCCCGAGACCTGCCCTGTTCTGCCACTGACTTAGTCTGGGGCCTTAAGGAACAACTTGGGAACCTCAAGTAGCCCATCCACAAAATGATTGTAACTGAAGCTCCTCTACCACTAAAGTTCCAAGTGAAAGACTCATGTATGTCAATTTCCAGCAGGACCAGGGATTGCAGCAGGGCTGGCCTACCTATTTGGAATCTTTGAGATGTCTATCTTCTCTCTGGAGGTGACATAAGGTATCACCACCACTTTTTTCAAGTCTGGCAGTCCTAAACAGAAGGGAAAGAGATACAAGGTTAAGGACACCATACACTTGGTCACAGATTTCTTTATAGAACACAACTTAAACCAAAAAACCAGTCACCACTGAGTCAACTCCAACTTGTGGCAACCCCATGCATGTCAGGGCTGATCTTTCAGTAGATTACCAGGCCTTTCTTCTGAGAGCCTCGGGATGGACTCAAACCCCCAACCTTCGGGTAACAAGTGAACATGTTAACCACTCCCACCACCCAGGAGTCCAAGGGAACATCACTCAGGGTTTCTGTAGTGCTCGTGGCTACCAAGTGACCTCTCACGCCACCCAGGGAAGGCCTCTGATCTCTGTGCCCGTCCAGGTCCCCCGGTGCCGGCCCACAACAAGGGCGGGGTCCCGCACCTCTAACGACCTGTTGCAGCTTGTCCATGTGGTTGTGTTCTTTGCTGTTGTACACAACGGCCTCCACGGAGAAGATGAGCTTTGGCTGGATTTGAGAAAAACGGTCCAGAACGCCCTGGAAGCAGTAGGACAACAGCATCACTGGTCAGCAAAAGGCAAAGATCCCTCAGCCACCAACAGGACAGCTTCACGTCAACAGAGACAGAAACTCAGCTGCCAACACAACGGCTTCATGACAAGAGAAAGGAAACACGTATTATCGGCACTAGAGTCACACTCCCGTCCCTGCCTCCCACGGCCAACGGATGAAGCCCAGCAAAGCATGACTTGCATCTGAGGAACCAATGAAACCAAACACACTGCCACCAAGTTGATTCTGACTCACAGCCACCCTATAAGACAAAGGAGAACTGCCCCACAGGGTTCCAGGGCTACCGATCGTTATGAAGCAGACTGCCTCATCTTTCTCTGGCAGAGCAGCTGGTGGGTTCAAACTGCCAACTTTTTGGTTAGCACGCAAGTGCTTTAAGCACTGCACCACCAGAGCTCCTTTGCATCTGAGAAGTTACCACCATTTCAGGGAGAGCAGCAATAGAAAGCACAAGGACTTAGAACATCTCTGAAACAGCAAAGTCCAAGTTCAAGAAGCAGGTGAAGTACAGGGTGACTGCATCCCAAAGATTCCCCACTTTGCAGAAAGACTCACTGAGAGATCCCTTCTAACACAGGTCCTCTGGCGACTATGAACGCGGACCTTCCAGAAAGGTGGTTCCCACTCAGCAAAGCCGCTCCCCACTTCAGCTCTTTTAATCTTGAACTGAAGAGGAGCCTGCAGCCCCCAAACTTACGTTTTTGCCCACAAACGGCATCACCCTAAAACATACACCCTCGTAACCCAGCCCATCTTCAAGGCGGCCCCTGCATCCGTGGGGTGGTCTGTGCCACGGGCATGGCCCTGCCAGGCACACGCTTTTCATGAAAGAAGGAATAGCTCCCATAAAGAGAGTGCCTTGTTTCCAACACTTCTGTGAGTGGCCAAGTGCAGCCTCCTGAGGCACCCAGCATAGCCTGAGCAGTGTCCCCAGGGTAAGGCATCAAAGCCCTCTGAGCCTAGTCTCCTACTGCAGGTCCCCATCCAGCCATCCTCGAGTCCAGACCGTGTTAGAGCCATTCTTGCCCACAGGACTCAGCGGCTGGGGTCAGGGGTCCACTAACAGGCATCTCGACCTGTCAGACATGAGTTGGAGGTAAGCGTCTCATGACCAAGGCCGAGGCTGCTCCGTCACACGAAGGGCGTGGGCTGGGGGCCAGGACCACAGTGTAAGGACTGGGGAGGTATGTCTGCACCTGGCTGCAAGCTACCACCACCTGCAGTGGGGCGAGTCAGTTAACTAAGCAGTTAGAGAAAACAATGGGTTAGTGTGCAGTGGGCCGGGTGTTGAGGTTCTGGGGTGACTGACTGCGAGCAGGACTGAGCACAAGGAGCGCATCTCTCAGGCAACGACTCCATCACCAGGGGAGGAAGGGCCGCTCCGAGTGTGGTCTCCAGACCAGCAGTGCCAGCACCAACCGGACCCCAGGTCTGCTGACTCGGGCACTTAGCAGCGGGCCCTCGGGAACCATGGTGCACCTCAAGGTTGAGAATCTGGTGCTGAAAATTCAAGGTCTGAGATTCTAGTTTCAAAGTTGTCCAGTTTTCCAAATCAGAAACAGACTTAATAAGAAGAGACTGGTGGCGGGGGGCGGGGGGACTTGTTCATTCCATCTGCTGTGCTAAGCACCATGCCAGGGAACAAAACAGACTAGGTTCCTGCTCCTTGGAAGTTGTAAGCTAACAGGAAAAAAGAAAAAGATGTTTGTTTCTGTCTCGATTGACAATTGTTTTCAGTACACTACACTCACCATTCGGGAGCTCTGGTAGCATAGTGCCTAAGGTGCTTGACTGCTAACCAGGAGGCTGGCAGTTCAAACCCACCAGCCACTCCTCAGAAGGAAGGTTGGGCAATCTGCTTCTGTAGAGACACCGCCTCGGAAACCCAAGGAGGGGTCACCGTGAGTCGGGGCCGACTCCATGGCACACGACAACAGTACACTCACCATCAGGCAGACAGGGAAGGAAAAGGAGGAGGGAGGCATCAAGCCGTGCAACAGGTGCCCGTCAGGGCTGGCTGACCAGGGCCCCGTTCCTGCGCGCGCCCGCAGCTCCCACCTGTCCCAGCCCAGGAGAGGGCGCCAGAGCCCAAGACGCCTTTATGGAGAGCCTGCCATAGCCCATCTGACCCGAATGAGCCTACCACATCTGAGCCTACCACAGCCCATCAGCCCAGCGCTTAGCAACCAAGTGAGCGCTGAAACCAACAGAGCGAGCGCGCCGGCCTGTTCGTGCACACACGCACGTGCACACACACAAAGCCACCTGGAGGCACCTCCCAAGGACAGCAGCACAGGCAGTCGGTCTGCCCCTCAGGTGTGAGAGTAGACGTGGCCTCGTGACATCTTTCAAGACACCGGGAGCTCAGTGGTAAACAGCAGAAAACCAAAGGCATTCGCAAATGCCAGCCGGGGCAGCCCTGGGGAGGCCGGGGACCAGTGGGAGTCGAAGGCCGGAGCCAGAGGTCTCCCCCCAGCAGGTGATGCCTTGAGGAGCGCAGTGTTAGTGACTCCGGCTGAGAAGCTTGGGGGGCGGACCAAGAAAGCCAGAGCCCAATGGGAAAGGACGGAAGAGGAGAGGCAGGGCCAGGGCCACAGGACAGCAAAGGGATGAAGACGGCCTCCTCAGCAGAGGAAAGACCCACGTCCCACCAGCCTGGAACAGCCCACAGAGAGGGTCTCTTCACCCCACCAAGCAAGGCCAGGAGACGTCACGATATTCACGGCAGGTCAGTCCTCACGCGTGGAGACGCCTGGTACTTATAAAAGTGCCCCCCGAAGTAATTCCACACTCATGTGCCCAGGACACAGCACTGACTTCAGAGTCAATGACGGCCCAAGGTGCGGAAACAAGCAGTGAAGAGGGGTTTACAGGAGAGCAGCACCGTCCCCCTCCCCACGGGGACCACTGGTGTTCGCAGCGGAACAGGATTCCAAGCAGGGAGAGCGTCGCTGCTCCACCGTAGCCCTGACTGAAAATGGGGACCACCTGAGGTTTCATGTGGTGATGCTAGAAACTGAAAATGGGGCACTCTTTGCAGGGAGAGATTTGCAAATCCATGAAGGGAACAGAGCCCAGGTCCTCCCCACCACAGTGCAGGTCAAGCCCCACCTCATCACTGACCCCGTGACTCGCTCCCAGTTGGTTTTACCCCCGAATAAGAACTGTAAATAAAGGGTGACTGGCCTTTGATGGCGTACCCTGGGGCGTGGGTGTGACTTGTTTGTCCGGTTCTCCTCCCACCCAGGTGTGCGGCACTAACACAAGTGAGCATCATGCCACGTCACAGCCATGCAGGGTGTCATGGCCAGACGGCCTCGCCCATCCTCAGGTGCCTGGCAGGGCTGCTGAAGCCTCTATGGTCCACACAATGACAAGCTAGCTCACGTCAAACGTGACACCGCCAGCCACATGGCCAGCCTGAACCCGCAGGATGGCCAGGAGTCTCTGCACCATACCCTGACACAGCCAATGAGAAGCATTTCTGGGAAGGACAGGCAGAGAGAAGCATCTCGGTAGGAAGGCGTGCGGCCCTGTGCTTTTGGGTGGGCGAGTGGCCAGCTCCCCCGTGGGCACGGACACCTCATCCCCTGTGGACGTTCTCCCCCCAGAGCCATCAGCGCCATGGAGACTGGAGCCACACTGCCATCTAGTGAGCGCCTGGCCACAGCAACTCCCCTGCAGCTGCAGTTCCACAAAGGCCTGGGACACCCCAGAGCCAGGAACACCCCGGAGCCCTGCACTGGGGCCCTGGCACCCGAAACCTAGATGGACTCCAGCCCCCGGGGAGCGGCCTCTGCGGTGACGCTCTACACAGGACAGCGGTCGGGAGCACCCAGCCGCACCGCACAGAAGCAGCTGCGAGGCGCAGACTACGGGT